GCTCACCATGACCTTGCGCAGCTGGTAGTTCCTGGCGCGGATGTCCTGCATCAGCATCTCGAAGGGGGTGAGCTGGAACTCGGTGGGCAGGGGGTTGAACTCTTGCTCCTGCACCTTCTTGAGCTTCACCCCATGGCGCAGCTCCCGCATGAGCTGGACCCACAGCCGGGCCTGCCCCAGAGACAGACAGGGCCCTCAGCCTGTGCAGCCTCCCGGCACGGCCCTGGGGCGACTCTCCTGTCTTACCCAGTCTGTGTGTCCCAGGTTGTCCAGGTCCGCCAGCGGCTTCTCCACCTGAGGCTCATCCTCCCCCAGCTTCTGCAGCATCTGAGACCACACATCTGGTTAGTCCAGAGAAGGTGGGAGGTGGCAGACATGGGACAGGGGCTTCCTCACCACACGGCTACTGCTAACCAGCTGAAAGGGGATCTGTGGAGTCCTGACCCAGGTGTGGGGCTCGGGAAGATGACTGGGAGAACCACGCTCTCCACCTCGGAACCAGACAGGTACCTGTCCGTCAGCTCTAGGTGGCTGGGGAGAATCTAGTACCCGTGTGGCACCTCCTCCCATCTCATCCACAGACCCCAGGGAGGTGTGGCAGGGGTGGGAGCCCGGATCTCAGTGCACACAACACCTCCTCAGGGGCACCTTGGCCAGCTATGGCCCACGCATTCTCCTGAGACATTCACAGCTGCTCCTCCACCACGATCCCCACGGGAGGCCACGTGGAACCCAGCACCTCAGAACCTGCAGCTGGACCTGCCGCAACATGGCACAGGCTAGGTCCTCAAACTGTTGGAGCAGATGGTGGTGGGTGCAGGCCAGTGTGGTTGCCAGCAGGTACGGGGGGGGATCATTCCCAAACCAGGAAAAATGCCAACATCATGGTGAGGGCCAGGAAACATCCTGGCATTAGGGACTGTCAGGTGACTGTTCTGGGCTGAGAATTTGGGGGGCTGCTGGACTAGCTGCCTCGGTTGCCCTGCATCTCAGTGGCAGCCGGCTGCTCTGACCCCCCTGTCCTGGAGAAGCATCTGCCCTTCAGCCCACAGCCACTCTTGACCAAGACAGAACCGGTTACCCTGGCTGCACCCCAAACTACTTGCCAAATGGCTCTGAGACACTCCAGGAAGTACTGCCAGCTCAGAGAAGCACAAGGCATGCCATGCTAATAGCAGTCCCCAGGTGGGACCTGGCCAGCCCAGTGGCACAGGGCAGGAGGGTGGCTCTCCCATCCTGAGCAGGCGGCTTCTCTCCCGCCTAGAGGAGCACAGCTGCACCCCACCGAGGGACCTGTCTCTGTGCCCGCTACCACCAGTTCCCTGAACTTCAGGCCAATGGCTCGACGTCCAGAGCTGTGTGCTCCTGCTGAAACAGGAGCCTTGCTGTCTGGGTGAGAAACTGAGCAGCAAGACACAGGCTGAGTTCAAGGAAGGAGGACAGCACCAGGACCACCAACTGTCTGTGGAGTCACGGGAGAACACCCCTGGGATGTCAAGGAAGAGCTGGAGAGAAGGTGGGATGACCACAGGAACTGGGCACGGGCTGGTAACCTCCCCATCTCGGCATGCGAGAGCTGCAGGGGAGGCTGGCAGCTCCAGCCTTTTCTTAGGACCCAAGGGTCAGTGAAGCTGCCCAGAACCCCTCTGTATTAGAAGGAAAGAGCACCCAGAAAGGTGAGGGTGGAGTCAGGGACCATACCAGGTAACTCCCAAAACACCTTCCAACACCCAAGCAAAGGGGTGCAGCCAATCTCTCTGACCTCCCCAGGTACCCCTCTCTCCTCTGTGGAAAGCTGATGGGCCCAGGGTCCCTGCATAGGACACTGCCAAACAAACCCATCAGCTCCCTTTGAACAGCACCAACTCCTCCAGGAGGGGCTGGGAGCTGGGAGAGCAGACTGCACACCATCCCTGAGGTCCAGGGGGATCAGGACAGCCCCAGAGGACTGTGGCTTGGGAGCCCAGGGAGACCAGCCCTGCCCTATACTGGCTCTCAGCCCCCGGCAAGGGTCCAGCCTCCCAGAGCCTACATCTGCCCACCTGCAAAATGGGCCCAACCTTAGAGGGGTACCTGGAGAGCAAGGCCAGGCACAGCACATACCCACAGGTACCCCCACGGAACTGCCCACCCACCCCACTTGAAGGATCTGTGTGGTTCTGAG